CGTTTATCTCGCATTTACCCCACATTTACCCCACACAAATTTAAGTACTACGATACTCAAGCACATATCACAGTATTGTATGGACACACTAAAGATATACTTCAGCACACACAGCTTCTCTGACAAGTTGTCACTAAGTTTACTTGAACTCTCTTAAAATTAAGAATAATTTAATACTCAGATTTGAAGACATGGCACTAACACCTTGCATGCAACTGAAACACGTTAACGGAAGCTCAAACTCAAACCACGCCACAGCGCAAACCCACCCCCGTCAGGCACAGCTTGGCGCGGGCGGTGGCGCGGGCGGTTAAGCGGCAGGCACAGCAAGGAACACCAGATAAAGAAGAAATTCACCTTTTTGCGTTAATCGTAGAAAAAGATCATAGCAATTCTCAAGAATGCAAAAAAAAATTGGAAAAATACTGCAAAGAATTAATCAGCGCAAACTTAAGCGTGGTACACGTACATAAAAAGTTAAAAGATTTATGTGTTAAAGAAAAACAAGAGGAAAAGTGCCAAAAACTGACAAACGAAATCACTAAAATTTGTAATGATCTTCCAACAAAAATCCAAGCAGCATATCAAAATCCATTAAGTAGCAATTGTATAGAATATGAACAACAATGCTTGTTTTTGGAAAGAGCATGCTCTAATGATATTACAGAGAATTGTAATAAATTAAGGAATGTATGTTATCAGAAAAAACGTGATGATGTTGCACTAGAAATTCTTTTAAGAGCACTAAAAGAGGGAAACTTAAAAGAACAAAACAAGTGTAAAGAAGATATTGCTAAAAAATGCCCAGAATTAAGTAAAGAGAGTGATGAGTTAATGTTAAAGTGTTTATCAGTGGATGAGACATGTACAAACCTCATAAAATTAATTGAAACAAGGTGTAAAAGTCTAAAAACAGATATTACTACAGCGTTTAAAAGTCAAGATAAGTTGAAAGAAAAATGCCCATTATTACTTGAGCAATGCCACTTCTATAAGACGAATTGTGGTACGGATAAACCAGATTGTGATAAACTCATAAATAGTTGTAAAAAGAAAGAAGTTACCTATATAGCACCAGGTTCAAGCTTTAATCCTATAGAACCTGAAACTACATTGGTAGAGCAAATAGGCCTAAAAGAACTTTATGAAGAAGCTAAAAAAGAAGGTGTTTTTATTGGAAAACCATCAGCAACAGATGCTACTGCTCTATTAGCGTTTTTGATTCAAGATAAAACACTTTCTGCTAGTGAAAATAAAGGTAAATGTGAAGAGATACTAAAAAAGAGGTGCGAAAAATTTAAAAACCATATAGTTTTAAAAGATTTATGTAATGATAAAAATCCAAGTGAAGAAGGAAAAAAAAAGTGTAATAACTTAGACCAAGAACTTGCAGAATATATTAAAACTATTTCTATAAAGATAAACAAACATCTACTTGGAAGTGATCCAAAAAAATTCATCAAGTGGCACGAGTTAATAACCTTTCTTACTGAAAGAGACTGTACATGGCTATTATCGGACTGTTTTTATTTACAAGATCAAACTCCAGTTGATAAAGAATGCAAAAACCTTAGAGCAGCATGTTATAAAAAAGGACGCAATGCACTAGCAAATCAAGCATTACAAGATATGTTGCGAGGAAAGTTGCATGAATCGAATGGGACATGGTTTGGAACACTTTTAAAGGAGCTGGTAAATGCATGTGTAAATCTAAAAGAAAAAAACGATGAATTATTTACATTATGTGTGCTGCCGAGAGAAACAGCCTTTACACTTTTAGCAGATTTGCAAATAAAAGTAGAGATATTACAAGGGTACTTAAATGAGAAGCGTGATTTTCCAAAGAAAGAAGATTGTAAGGAATTATTAAAAAAATGCGAAGATCTAGGACACGATTCAAAAGAAATTGAGTGGCCATGTCATACGTTAAAATATCATTGCGATCGTTTGAAAAATATAGAAAAGTTAGAAGAGAAATTGTTAGCAGAAAAGACAAAAAGTTTGGATAATTTTGATTCATGTGTAGAAAAAATTGGTCAGCAATGTTATGAATGGAATAGAAGAGGGAAAACAAAATTTATTCTTGCATGTGTAACACAAAATACTACTTGCAAGATTCTTACAAAAAATATAGAGTCTAAGTGTACTATATTGGAAAAACGTATAAAAGCAAGTAATGTTGTGGATCAAGCAAAGAATAATGAAAAGGAATCTATCTGCGATTCTTGGCAACCCTATTGCAGCAAATTTATGTCGAGTTGCAAGAATTTAATAAATAATGGTAATGGAGAGTGTGAAAAGCTTAATGAGGAGTGTAAATCATTTATTGAAAGGAAAGATTTGGAGGAAAAAGTAGTCTATGAATTAAAGGGTAGTTTGAAAACGAAGAAAGAATGTAAAAAAACACTTAACATATATTGTACACAATGGACAAATGCAACCAACCAGCTTAAAACTCTATGTACTGATACTACTAATGTCAAAAACGACACTGAAGTTAGAGAAAAGCTTTGCGAAAAATTAGTAGAACGAGTGAAAAGTCAATGCCCTGAATTACAGAAAAAACTTGCAGAGGCCAATAAAGAGCTGGAGAAGAAAGCCAGCAAATATGAGAATATCAAAAAAGAAGCAGAAGATGCAATGAAAAAAGCAAGTCTTGTTTTATCAAAAGCAAAAGCAGAAAACAATAAATCAGAAAACGAAGTTGTGCCTAGTGTACCAGCCGCACCTAGTGGAAAAGACACGAAGCCGTTTAGACTTATAAGAAGAGATGCAACAGCGAAGGTAACAGAAGACGAAGCGAAAGCATTTGATTTGGTTGCACAAGCATTTGGACTCTATGTAGAGTTAAGGGAGGAGTGTCAAGATTTACTAAAGGGATGTGGATTTAAAAAGGAATGTAGTTGTGAAAATCAATGTGAGAAAATAGAAAACACATGTAAAAAATTGAAACCATTGGAAGTGAAACCCTATAAAATAGAGACAGTAACTAAAAACATAACAACGACAACGACAACAACGACAACAAAGACAGAGGGAGAAGGAAAGACGGCAGAGTGCCAGTCTCTGCAGACAACAGACACGTGGGTCACAAAAACATCAACACATACTAGCACTTCTACGACTACGTCCACAGTCACATCGAGGATAACACTCACCTCGACAAGACGGTGTAAGCCTACGAAGTGCACGACAGGAGAGGGGGATGAAGCAGGAGAGGTGAAGCCGAGTGAGGGGCTGAGGATGAGTGGGTGGAGTGTGATGAGGGGGGTGCTAGTGGTAATGATGATTTCATTCATGATTTAGATGTAAAATGGGAATGGGATATAAGAGCAGCATGTATATTTACTAGATGAATGAGGATAGGGCAGGAAAGAGTAGACATGATCTCTTCA